ATGCACCATTGTTGCTACTTTGTCATGCTGTTGTTTGTAGTCAGTCTGTGCGATCTTCTTACAGCAGCTAACTAGGTGGTCCACTGTTTTTCAGCAGCAGCAGATGCTGTTTTTGCTGCTGTTTCTGCTGCTGTTTCTTCTCCTTCTCCTTCTCCTTCTTCTCCTTCTCCTTCTCCTTCTCCTCGTTATTAGGAGAATGAACAGACAACATTGCACTAACTATATTATTTAAAAAAATAATGTTATTAAAGATTATAATTGCAATAATAAAAGCTAATACAAACTAAAAAAAGTAGAAAGAAAGAGTAAAAAGTGCAAAGGAAAAGAAAAAGAAAAAGAAAAAAACTTACAGCATAGAAAGAAAAGAAAGAATATAGTAAAGAAAGAGAAAACAAATATATAAAAAAGTGACTTCCAACCTTCATCACAACAAATATAAACAATTTTAGTAACTTTTCACCTCCTCTTAATTTACAGCCAATTATCTCTTCATCCCATGTCCTACCTCTTAACTATAAACAAATCCATAAAGCATTGTCATTTCAGTGCTGGTGTCAGCAAAAGTCCATTAAGGGTTGCCAAAAATAACAACATATCTATTTTAACCTTGATCAAATAAACCAACTTTAAATTCCTTCCTTTTATTTCTAACAATCTTAATCTCTGGTCCATTCATTAATGTTGCAGAACTTGATTTCTTTTCATTTCTTTTTTGCCACTTCTCCCAAGATTCATCCAAGCTTTAATAAACTTCTTTTGTAAATCCAATATATAAGAATTATCCAGGCCACTCTCTTGGTTTATTATTTGTAATTCCCTTTTGATTTTTAAAGCATCAACCAATTTCTTTTGTATATCCAATGAGGCACCTTTTCCCATGTCATTCCTGTAGCCTGCCCTTTGTAGATCTACTTCCAGTGACGACTCTGTCTCTGTGTTGTCAGATAAAACTTGTTCTTCTGCCATTTCTTCCAAAACATCGTTTGGACACAGTCTATCCACAGGTTCCTAACAGCTGAAAAGTAGTTAACAAGCAATTTCCAAATGTGATTAGAAAAGAAAGTATGCAAACTTAGTGTCCTTTTAAAGGCACCAACTGTGGTTTGAGCAAAATTCCTTTGTCTCCCAGTACTCAAAACCCACCTGAGACTGCTGTCTTGTGGTCTCCTCATGAGGAACAACTTTCTAGAGCACTTGTGGGCAATCTCCCATCCTCTCTATGTACAGAGAGGTTCCAAGAACCAGTTTACTCAACAGCTCTTTGTTCTTTGCTATGGTTGTCAGCTCCACTTTTCATGGAGCCGTCTTCAGTCCACCATTTCTTCCTTCCTTCCATTGCACTAACTATATTATTATGGTTTTGACTGATTATTTATTTTGATTTTATGCTTTTGTATTTTATCTTTTTCCATCACTGGGAATTGCCATTGGGGAATGGTGGTATAAAAATATAAAAAATAAATAAAAATAAGAACATGAAGTCATTCTAAATTATATATAAATGGGTAGGTTGGCATTCCAGGCTTACTGGCTAATTAAGCTACATCTGGCAATTAATTTCCTGAGATTTCTTAACACATGGTTATCTCAAAGATTGCCCCAGCACACCTCCTTAACAGATTTTTGAATACTCCCTAAGAACCTTTGAAAATCAGATCAAAGCACATCTATAGGTCTGTTGAATGTTCTCCTCTTGATAATGGCTTTATATATGTGTGGGTGTGTTAGTTTTCTAGCCT